GACCTCTGCTGCCAAACCGGAGCCGGTCATGAGCACACTGCCAAGGTATGGAAAACTCTCAACTCTCTCCACAACTGCCCCATCACCAATTGGGAGTTGTGGGGGTAGAGTGTCCGATGGTACATAATACCCAGGCAGGTGCTTAGTTTTGGTGGGGCTGATGGTACACACACACACTGGTACACACACATACACTGGTGCACACACACTGGTAGACACTTGCACACTGGTACACACACTGGTACACACAAGGACAAAGATCCCCCATATAGCCTGAGCAGACTGTTGTGGCAAGTTATGTTAGCGAGCAGCGCCTTTGAAAGCCTGCGAGTTACATAGGGCGGGTAGCCAGCATCACGCCCGACCGCCTTTGTCTCCCCAGTGGCGATGTTTACACACCGCACCAGGTACTCATTTGAGGCTGAGTCGACTAAGGGGAGGCCCAGGATCGGTTTAGATAATCGACTCTGGTGTTGGCCGTGAGCGGGAATCGAACTCGGGTCATCTGGTTCGTAGCGCAGCGTAGTGCTAACCGCTATACTACCACTCCCCACACACACACACGCATACTGACACACACACTGATACACGCACACACACACACACCGATACACGCACACACGTACGATCTTTTTTTTTCTACTTAACTAAAGGAAATTGCTGAATACCCTTTTGGACCGCAGTTACAGAAATCTCTCCGGCATTGAACGTGATGCTATTGGCTGCTGCTGCTGTGCGGTCTATAGCCTCGGGGCACCCCCCAGTGGCAGCTGTCCCTGTGCGTTAGTCTGCCGCGAGAATGGGTAGTGATGATTGCTGCTGTGCGGTATGTAGCCTAGGGGCACCCCCAGTGGCAGCTGTCCCTGTGAGTGAGTCTGCTGCCAGTAGGGGTAGCAATAATCACTGCTGTGCGGTCTATAGCCTAGGGGCACCCTCCTTGGCAGCTGTCCCTGTGCGTTAGTAGGGATAGCGATGATCGCTGCTGTGTGGGTCAATAGCCTAGGGGCACCCCCAGTGGCAGCTGCCCTGTGCATTAGTCTGCTGCGAGAATGGGTAGTGATAATTGCTGCTGTGTGGGTCTCTAGCCTAGGGGCACCCCCCAGTGGCAGCTGTCCCTGTGCATTAGTCTGCTGCCAGTGCAGGACGATAATAATTGTTGCTGCTGTGGGGGTCTATAGCCTAAGGGCTCCCCCAGTGGCAGGTGTCCCTGTGCGGAGTAGCTGCGTGTGTTCAACGCGCACGGCTGGATTGTTAATCGGGGTGGCCCGCCGGGTTCGATCGCCCTCGTGCGCGAGTGCACGAGGGCGCGTGATGGTGCTATGCACCGGGCAGAGACCTGAGTTCGATTCTGCTCTTGGGGCCACCAACAAGCACCGGTGGTGACGATTGCCTTAATAACCGGCCTTCAGGGCCCTCCCCCCTGAGGTCGCCTCAGCCTCAAATGGGTATCTGGTGCCGTGGTAGTGTAGTAGTAGTAAACATCTCCACTGGGGAGACAAAGGCGGCCGGGTGTGGTGCTGGCCACCCACCCCCTCGTGTGCCACAGTGCCGGCCTTCATAGGTGCAGCTCGCTGACAGCACTTGCCCCCTACAATCTATGAAGGCTATACGGGGGATCTTTGCCTTTGTCTCCATGTGTGACCAGCAACAACAACTCCCCACCTCCTCGGTGGTGGTTGGAGGTCAGTAACGCTGTGGTGGTGGTGATGGTGGTTGCCAAATGGCAACGCTGTGGTGCTGGTGATGGTGGTTGTGGTAGTTTCCAACAACAACGGAGGGCGGAGGAGCGGCGCTCACAACAACGAGCGGAGCGCCGGGTGGCTAAAGCACAGCAAGTTGGCACAATAGGAGGCACAGGTGGTGCATCAGCCAGTCATCTCAGTCATCTCAGTCAGTCGACCCGTGGCACTTGGGTCTGCCCCGTGACCTCCTGCCAGCGGGCGTTCGACACTTCGCGTGGCCTCAAGGTGCACATGGCCTGGCACAAGCGTCGTAGTGATGTCACCGCCACTTAGTGGCGAATGGCGTTTTTTGTTGTTGGTAGTTTCCAGCCAGGAATGCTGTGGTGGCTGTGAGCAATGCCATTAGGGGATGGGGGGAGCCCGAGAGCCTGATACAATCAGCTGGTAGACTCATGTTTGCCCACAGCTTCGCCTCTGGGTGGGCTGACCTCCCCCCACCTTCAACTCAAATCACGGGAGCTCGACGGCTTAACACCCCCATGGCCCCGCCTCGGGGCCGCGTCGAATGTTTGAACGCTCGCCGCTGAGGAGGAGAGGCTGCCACTATTCTGGTCGGGAGCTGGACCGGTTTTTCCGCCTGGATCTCTGCGGCATTCAGGAGGTCCGGTGGACTGGCTCTGGCTCCAGTCGCTATGATGGGTGAACAGTCTTCTACTTGGGGCAGGAGACTGCCAAACAACGGGTAGTGGCTCTGCTTCTGAACAAAATAATGAATGGGGTGTGGTGGTGAAGTGAGGGAAGATGCGAGTCCCAGGCTACTGTGGGTTCGCTTCCCCATCAACGGGAGGCAATGAATGGTGATGGCTTACACCCCCCACCGAAGATGAACATCGGTGGAGGGACGCAGGCAAAGCTGATGTGTCAGATGATTTCTATAACCTCCTGTCCCAGGTGCTAGCTAAAGTGGCCCCCTCAGGATAGAATCATCCTGTTGGGTGTCTTTAATGCCTGAGTGGGTCATGGGCTGCAGTGATTGGAGGCATGGGCCAGATAACAATGGGAGAAAGCTGCTAGATGTCTGTGCTGCCCATGGGCCTGCAATCATCAACACACTGTTCCGGCACCGGCGCATCCACACAACAGCATGGATGCATGCCGGATCTAAGCAAGAACATCTGCTGGACTATAGAGTGTTTGTAACCGTGAATTTGGGCACATGTCCTTGATATCAGGAGCTGATCTGCCCGCTGATCCATCAGCTTGTCATCTATAAGATGCACCTGCCATTCTTCCACTCCGGTGGTGGGTTGTTCATCTAGGACCCCATTCAAACCCACAGCGGCCTGGTCTCAACTTGCTGATGAAAGTTCCCAATTGAGAATTTCAAGATCACTTGCAGCTGGGGTTGACATCCCCCCCCCCTCCTGCTGATGCCAAGGGGAAATGGGTGAGGCTCAGGACTGTGGCTCATGCAGCTGTAATCGCTACATTGAGAATGCAGTCCAGACCTCCGCAGAGACCCTGACTGACCGTCGAGGTGTTCCGGCTGGCTGGGAGAAAGAGACAGGCCCACTCTCACCTTCTACAGCATCCCACGTCAGGGAATAAGGAGGCTTACCGCAGCCTTTGCTCGGAGGTTCCGAGAGCCGTGCGGTGCTGCGAGGATGGGTTTGTGGTCGAGGGTTAATGAGGAGATGTAACATGCCTCAGTAGTCGGCGATCACAGATCACTCTTTTACTCCGTCAAAATAATAACTTGCAGCACCGCCACCTATCGCCATCCTTTAGGTCTGCAGGTTTTTACCGAACATTTATGTGAGGTCTTGGGGGAGGGGAAATCCCTCAGCCCAGACGACGTCATGGGGCAAGGTGGGGAGGACCCTGATGGGACTGCTGTGGCTCAAATATTGGAGGAATTAGTCACCCCCTGCGAGTGGCTGGAATGAAGTGCCATCTGTTGAGGAAGTACGGAAGGCGATTAAAATTCTGAGACCAGGAAAGACACCGGGCAGAGATGATCTCCCAAACAAAATGCTGAGAAAGGGTGGCGTTTGTGTGTAGACTGCCCTACATGACATCAGTCTGGACCACTGGATGGGTTCCGCAGGATTGGAAGGAAGACCGCACTGATTGTACCAACTTCCGGGGTATCTCCCTCCTCGGTGTGAGGCCATAAACGGTCCTGGCAAGGATTATTCAACATCGCCCCTTTGCCAAGGCACGCTGAGGAGAGACTTTCAGAGTATGTGTGTGTGTGTGTGCATTGTGTAGTGTAAGGGTGTATGTACTGTGTGTGTGCATTGTGTAGTCTAAGGGTGTGTGTGTGTACTGTGTGTGTGCCTTGTGTAGTGTAAGGGTGTGTGTACTGTGTAAGGGCAAGTGTGTGTGTACTGTATGCACTGTGTAAGGGTTAGTGGGTGGGATGTGTGCGTACTGTGTGTGCACTGTGTAGTGTAAGGGTGTGTGTGTACTGTGTGTGTGCACTGTGTAAGGGTGTGTGTGCTGTATGTGTACTGTGTTCACTGTGTCAAGGTGTGTGTGGTGTGTGTGTGTACTGTGTGTACACTGTAAGTGTGTGTGCTGTGCGTGTGTGTGTACTGTGTGTGTACTGTGTGTGTGCATTGTGTAGTGTAAGGGTGTGTGTACTGTGCGTGTGCTTTGTGTGTGTGTGTATACTGTGCAAGGGTGTGTGTCTATGCTGTATGTGCATACTGTGTGTGCTGTGTGTACTGTGTAAGGGTAAGTGTGTGTGCTGTATGTGTACTGTGTGTGCACGGTGTAGTGTCAGGGTGTGTATGTGTGTACTGTGCGCGCATTGTGTAAGTGTAAGGGTGTGTGTGTCGTGTAGTGTGTGTGTGTAGTGTGTGTGTGTCCTGTGTGTGTGCTATGTTTGCACTGTGTACGGGTAAATGTGCTGTGTGTGTGCTGTGTGTACACTCTTTAAGGGTAAGTGTGAGTGTATGTGCGTGTGCTGTGTGTAAGGGTGTGTGTGTACTGTGTGTGTGCATTGTGTAGGGTAAGGGTGTGTGTGTACTGTGCACTGCAAGGGTTAGTGTGTGTGGTGTGTGTGTGCTGTGCGTGTGTGTGTGTACTGTGTGCGCACTGTGTAATGGTAAACGTCTGTGTTATGCGTGTGTTGTGTGTGCTGTGTGTGTGTGTACTCTGTAGTGTCAGGGTGTGTGTGTGTACTGTGTGCGCCCTGTGCAAGGGTAAGTGTGTGTGTGCTGTGTGTGCTGTGTGTGTACTGTGTGTGCATTGTGTAGTGTGAGTTGTGTGTGTCCTGTGTGTGTGCTATGTTTGCACTGTGTACTGGTAAATGTGCTGTGCGTGTGCTGTGTGTACACTGTGTAGGGGTAAGTGTGCGTGTGCTGTGCGTGTGCTGTGCGTGTGCGGTGTGTGTGCTGTGTGTACACTGTAAGGGTAAGTGTGTGTGCTGTGTGTACTGTGCATGTGCTATGCGTGTGCTGTGTGTCTGTGTGCTATGTGTGTGCTGTGTGTACACTGTAAGGGTAAGTGTGTGTGTATACTGTGCGTGTGCTGTGCATGTGCGGTGTGTGTGCTGTGTGTACACTGTAAGGGTAAGTGTGTGTGCTGTGTGTGTACTGTGCATGTGCTATGCGTGTGCTGTGTGTGTGCTGTGTGTGTACTGTGTGTGTGTGCTATGCGTACACTGTAAGAGTAAGTGTGTGTATGCTGTGCGTGTGCTGTGCGTGTGTTGTGCTGTGTGTGCTGCGTGTGCTGTGCGTGTGCTGTGCGTGTGCTGTGTGTGCTGTGTGTGCGTAGCTGTCCCGGGAACCCCGCAGCACACCGAAGAGCAGTTCCTGTCCCGAATCTTCCTCTACGTCGCCCTGCTCATCATGTTCTGGCTCTTTATCGCCTAGGCACGGCCCCCACCACCACCGCCACCACAACCACCATCGTGGCAGCCACCACCACGGCCCCCACCACCAAAGCCGCCACCACAACCACCATCACGGCCACCACCATCACGGCCCCCACCACCACAGCTGCCACCACCACAGCCACCACCACCATGGCCACCACGGCCGCCAGCACCACAGCCACCACCATGGCCACCACCACCAAAGCTGCCACCACCACAACCACAGCCACCACCATGGCCACCACCACCAAAGCTGCCACAACCACAGCCACCACCACCATGGCCACCACCACCATGGCCACCACCACCAAAGCTGCCACAACCACAGCCACCACCATGACCACCACCACCGAAGCTGCCACCACCACAACCACAGCCACCACCACGGCCACCACCACTACCGCTACCACCACCACCCCCACCACAGCCACCACGGCCACCACGGCCACCACCACCACTATCATGGTTTCCACCACCATCAACAACAACACCGACAACTGCTTTCACCACAAATTGGTAGTGGCATCATTTTTTTATTTCATGGCGCCTGTGCCAGGCTAGGTGCACTTGGAGTCCACCTGAAGTGTTGAATGCCCTGCTGGCAGGAGGTCATGGGTCAGATCCATCGACTGACTGAGATGACTTGCAGATGCACCTACCTGTCCTCCCTACTGTTCCAACTTTCTGCTCTTGAGCCACCCGGCGCTCCGCTCGTTGTTGTGAACGTCGCTCCTCTGCTCTCCGTTGTTGCTGGAGGGCGACTGCCTCCAACTGCCCAGTAGCAGCGTCCTTCACGAGCCTCCCCCACAGAGGCCGATCATGACACCGCTGATACGCACTCAGTTCCACATCCTCCTGCACAGCATCAGTCCATCTCTTCTCTAGCCCATGCTGTACCCGTTTAGCCCCCTCTATCCAGACAAACAAAAGCTGCTTGGGCATGCTGTGGCTGGTCATGTGGGCTACATTGCCCAGCCAATGCAGCCTTGCCTGAACGCAGTCACTGACGGGACTGCGTTCAGATTTTTCAAACAGCTGTGGACTCTTCACATAATCCAACCTGGTTAAAGTCAGGATGGATCGTAGGCAAGCCAGCCTGAATGTTTCTAACTGGCACAGAAGTTCCTTATAGAGGGCTGTACGTCTCACAAGTATAGAGAAGGGAGGGAATTGCTGTGGCCGACAAAAAACGGAGCTTTGTACAGAGCGACAGGCCAGATAGCTTCCACACAAGTAGCTTTACGCGGCCAATGACAAAACAATGCCACCAGACTGATTTAGTGAGACCTCTGCTGCTAAACAGGATCTGGTCGCCTAAGCACACTGCCCAGGTATGGAAACTTCTCCACTCTCTCCACAACTGCCTCATCACTCATTGGGGGGGGGGGTGAGGGGGGAGCATTGTTTGACACAATACCCAGACAGGTGCTTTGTTTTTGTAGGGCTGATGGTAAGGCTCCTTCTCTTAGTGGCATGTTCCAGGTTGAACAGGAGCATCTCCAACTCCTCTGAGTCAGTAGCAATCACTAGATAATCCATGTACGTAACATGGTTTACCACATAGGGAGCCATCCCTTAATCACACCCAGGCATCGATCATCCTCCCATTGTATCTGTACCATATGGAGACTCCTTCAGTACAGCCATGGAAAGCTTCTTGAACTACGTGGTCGAAGATTATGTTAAATAATGTGGGAGCCAGAGGACATCCCTGTCACACCCCGAAGTTGAACAGGGAATGGCTCCAACTCCCGGCCACGCAATTTCACCCCGGCCTGCCCACCTTCATGTAATGCCCTTAATAATTGTGAGCAGATGGTTTGGGGCTCCCAAAGCACGAAAAATAACCCGGAGCCCTGGCCTGTTTATGATATCATAGCCCTTGACCAGTTCGATAAAGCAGAGATTTAGGTCCTGTTGGAATTCCCTACACCTTTCCTGTCGCAGACGGACAGATAATCTGTGCAGGACCACCCTTGCCTGAAACCACATCCGGGCTCCACAAGCCTCTCCTCGGCGCGTTGCCTAGCAAGGTGATGTTGAATAAACCTTTCCAGGACCTTTTCTGGGCCTCACATTGAGGCGAGAGATGCCCCTGTACAGAGAGTCCCCGAGTTACGATGGTCCGACTTACGATATTTCGATCTTACGATGGCGATACGACAAAATTGTTGAATATTTTAAATTTCGCGCAGCAGGCAAATACAGCAGCGTACGAGGTATCGAATGTTGGTGAGTACAGTGCAATGTGATACGTTACGATATGGTCAGTGCATGATGAGACGTAGCTTTAGCGTTTTCATTTGAGGGTTTGCCACGGTACAATATGTTCAATGCATGTTAAAAGTTTTATAGCAGATAGGATTGTTTCCTGAAAAAAACTTTCTATTAAATTGCAGTTCACATAGGTAGGCTAAGAATTTAACCTTGTTTTTTACTTGAAAATTTACTGTGCAATAACAGTATTGTAATTAATAAATACATACAGTATATAGTTTATACAGTACGGTACTGTAAATTGCTCTGTTTGCTAAATTATCACCAATTCTTTTAGACCCCTGGGTAGGCTAGGCCATCTTCGACTTACGATATTTTTGACTCACGATGGGGTCGTCGTAACGCATCTCCTCGTAAGTAGAGGACTACCCTGTACTTGTTACAGTCTGTGCGGTCCCCCTTCTTAATCGGGGGGACCACCAGGGCATCCTTTCAATCCTGCGGAACTCATCCGGCGGTCCAGACTGTCATAATAACGTCGCTGTAGGGCAGTGCACACAAACACCACCCTGTCTCAGCAGTCCTCTTGGGAGTCATCTCTGCCCGGCACTTTGCCTCGTCTCAGACTCCGTGTCAACTTCCATACTTCCTCAACAGATGGCGCCTCAGCCAACCACTGCAGGATCGTCCCCACATTGTCCGCATGATGTCACCTGGGCTGAGGGATTCCCATGGCCCCAGTTTCTCACTGAAATGTTCAGCAAACCTGCAGACCAGTTCCTGGGAGGGGGGGGTCGGAGATCAGATCACCGTTCTTTTCCCTTAGGAATGGTGATAGGTGAGGTGCTGCAAGTTACCTTTTTTATGGAGTTAAAAAGTGATTTATGATCACTGCTGAGGCAGATGCCATCTCTCAGCAACTCGCGACCATCACTCGTCCTTGCAGCGGCACACGGCTCTCCGACCTCCGAGCGAAGGCTGCAGTTAAGCCGCTTCGTTCTCGGACGTGGGATGCTGTTGAGGGTTTGAGTGAACCTGCCGCTTGCTTTCAACCAGCCGGAAAACCTCCTCTGTCTGCGAGGGTTTCTGGCTATCCCCACCCCACACAACCTGGGTCTGTCCCTTGACCTCTGGCCAGCAGCGAGCCTTCCACACTCACATGGTCACAAGTAAAACGTGGCCTGGCACAAGCGCCGTGGTTACTTCACCGCCACTTAGCGGTGAATGGCGGTTGTCATTGTTGGGGGTGTGAGGGTAGCGTGGGGGCGGTAGTGTCGTGGTTGACGCTACGCTGCTGTGCTACGGATCCGGTGACCCGAGTTGGATTCCTGCTCACGGCCCCCAGCACCAGTGATGGCGATTATCCGAACCGGTCCTAGGCCTTCCCCTAGGTTGACTTAGCCTCAAATGAGGTGCCTGGTGCGGTCGGCAGTAAACATCGCTACTGGGGAGACAAAGGCGGTCGGGCGTGGTGCTGGCCACCCACCCCCTGGTGTGCCGTGCCGGTCTTCATAGGTGCTTGCTTACAGCACTTGCACCAAACAGTCTATTGAGGCTACATTGGGGGGGGGGGGGGGGGTCTTTGATGTGAGTGAGTGGATGACTGGCATTGCTTGCAGGTTGAGCGAGTGAAGTGAGCGATTGTGTGGTGAGTGAGTGAGAGAGCGTGTAGTGTATATCCTCTCCCCTAGGGCGCCACAAGTGGCGGGATGTTAACTATGTAAGTATGGGTCTCTGTCGGTCTTCATGAGTATAGTCCATTCTGGAAAATCGCCCGAAGATGCTGGATGTAATGTCCAGCGAAACGTCATACTCACAATGTGAATGTTGTGGATCCACTCTCAATACACCGGTGGGCTAAAGTAGTGACCTCTTTGTCAACGTGACACATTTATAAATAATGCGATCTAACACAAGCACCTTTATTATGAGTATATGTTTGTGTGGGTCTGTGTGGTTGTGTGGGTCTCTGTGGGTCTGTATGGATCTGTGTGGGTCTCTGAGGGTCTGTATGGGTCTCTGTGTGTTTGTGTGGGTCTCTGGGTCTGTTACGGGTCTCTGTGGGTCTCTGTGGGTCTGTATGGTCTCTGTCGGTCCTGTATGGGTCTCTGTGGGTCTTTGTGGGTCTGTATGGGTCTCTGTGGGTCTGTATGGGTCTCTATGGTCTCTGTGGGTCTGTATGGTCTCTGTGGGTCTCTATGGCTCTCTGTGGGTCTCTGTGAGGCTCTGAGTCTCTGTGGGTCTCTGTGGGTCTCAATGGGTCTCTATGCGTCTCTATGGGTCTCTGTGGGTCTGTGTGGGTCTCTGTGGGTCTCTGTGGGTCTGTACGGGTCTTTGTGGGTCTCTATGGGTATCTGTGGGTCTGTATGGGTCTCTATGGGTCTCTGTAGGTCTTGTTGGGTCTCAGTGGGTCTCTGTGGGTCTCTGTAGGTCTGTATGGTTTCTGTGGGTCTGTATGGGTCTCTGTGGGTCTGTATGGGTTTCTGTGGGTCTGTATGGGTTTCTGTGGGTCTGTATGGGTCTCTGTGTGTCTCTGTGTGTCTCTGTGGGTCTCTGTGGGTCTATGTGGGTCTCTGTGGGTCTATATGGGTCTCTGCGGGTCTCTGTGAGTCTCTCTGCGTCTCTGTGGGTCTCTATGGGTCTCTATGGGTCTCTGTGGGTCTCTGTGGGTCTGTATGGGTCTCTGTGGGTTTCTGTGTGTCTCTGTGGGTCTCTGTGGGTCTGTAAGGGTCTCTGTGGGTATCTGTGTCTCTGTGGGTCTCTTTGGGTCTCTGTGGGTCACTTTGGGTCTCTGTGGGTCTCTATGGGTCTCTATGGATGTCTGGGGTCTTTGTGGGTCTCTGTGTGTTCCTATGGATCTCTGTGGGTCTCTGAGTTCTCTGTGGGTCTCTGGGGTCTCTGTGGGTCTCTGTGGGTCTCTGTGGTCTCTGTGGGTCTCTGTGAGTCTCTGTGTGTCTCTGTGTGTCTGTATGGGTCTCTGTGGGTCTGTATGGGTCTCTGTGTGTCTGTGTGGGTCTCTGTGGGTCTGTATGGGTCTCTGTGTGTCTCTGTGTGTCTCTGTGGGTCTCTGAGTCTCTGTGGGTCTCTGTGAGTCTCTGTGAGTCTCTGTGGGTCTCTGTGGGTCTCTGTGAGTCTCTGTGTGTCTCTGTGGGTCTCTGGGTCTCTGTGAGTCTCTGTGGGTCTGTATGGCAGCAGCTGTAGCAGCATCGCCTGCCTCCCTCCCTGCAGAAGCTGGGCAAGATCCTCCTGACCACAGAGTTTGCGAAGCATCTCTCGAGTGACCGCTCTCGTTCATTGTAAACGTTGAACCGGTTTAAACCGGTTTTAAACCTGTTTGTAACCTCTCCGTGTTAGCCTGAAACAGGACTGCTGAGGGCAAGAGTTGTTAGCGAGTAGCAGCCTTCACTGACCCTACACTACCCTCACACCTTCACACCTCACCTTCACTAACCCTGACAGCCTTCACAGTCACCCTCACACTCACCTTCACACTCACCTTTCACACTCACCTTCACACTCACCTTCACAGTCACACCTTCACACTCACCCTCACACCTTAACACTCAGCCTCACAGTCACACTCACTCACCTTCACACTCACCCTCACACACAGTCACACTCACCTTCACACTCACAGTCACTCTCACTCACAGTCACTCTCACTCACAATCACTCACAGTCACTCTCACAGTCAGTCAGTCACAGTCAGTCACAGTCAGTCACTCACAGTCACTCTCACTCACAGTCACACAGTCACACTCAGTCACACTCACTCACAGTCACACTCACAGTCACACTCACTCACAGTCACACTCACTCACAGTCACACTCACGGTCAAACTCACTCACGGTCACAGTCACTCACAGTCACTCTCACTCACAGTCACACTCACTCACAGTTACTCTCACAGTCACACTCAAAGTCACACTCACTCACAGTCACTCTCACTCACAGTCACACTCACAGTCACTCTCACTCAGTCATTCTCAGTCACCTCTCACAGTCACACTCCACAGTCACACTCACTCACAGTCACTCTCACTCACAGTCACTCAACAGTCACAGTCACACTCACGCACAGGCACTCACAGTCACACTCACAGTCCACTCACTCACAGTCACACTCACAGTCACTCTCACTCACACTCTCACACTCTCACTCACAGTCACAATCAGTCACACTCACAGTCACACTCACTCACAGTCACTCTCACTCACAGTCACACTCACATACAGTCACACTCACTCACAGTCACACTCAATCATAGTCACTCACACTCACACACAGTCACACTCACTCATAGTCACACTCACTCACAGTCACACTCACTCATAGTCACACTCACTCACAGTCACACTCACTCAGACACACTCACAGTCACTCTCACACTCACTCACAGTCACTCTCAGTCACAGTCACACTCACAGTCACACTCACTCACAGTCACACTCACAGTCACACACTCACAGTCACTGTCTCTGTGTCTCTGTCTCTCTGTGTCTCTGTGTCTCTGTCTCTCTGTCTCTGTTCTCTCTGTGTCTCTGTATCTCTGTCTCTCTGTGTCTCTGTGTCTCTGTCTCTGCAGGTGGAGCGGCCCCTCTGCTCCTCTCCCCACAAAACCTCCACGAAGTCTTCTTCATCATCGTCGCCATCGTCATCTTCCTGTGGCTCCTCACTGTGTGAGGCGCGGCCACACCCCACCACTCGCTCACCCACCTCACTCACACCCCACCACCTCACCCACACCCCACCACTCACTCACCACACTCACCCACACCCCACCACTCACCCACCCCACCACTCACCCACCCACTCACCCACACCCCACCACTCGCTCACCCACTCACCCACTCACCCACACCCCACCACTCACCCACACCCCTCCACTCACCCACCCCACCCCACCCCTCATCCACCCACACACCCACACCCCACCACTCACCCACCCACACCCCACCACTCACCCACCCACACACCCACCCACTCACCCACACCTCACCACTCACCCACCCACACACCCACACCTCACCACTCACACACCCACACACCCACACCCCACCACTCACCCACCCACTCACCTCACCACTCACTAACACCCCACCACTCACCCACCCACACACCTCACCACTCACCCACACCCCATCACTCACCCACCCAGTCACTCACCCACCCACTCACCCACACCCCACCACGCACCCACCCACACACCTCACCACTCACCCACACCCCACCACGCACCCACACCCCTCCACTCACCCACCCACTCACCCACACCTCACCACTCACCCACCCACTCACCCACACCCCACCACTCACCCACACCCCACCACTCACTCACCCACACCTCACCACTCACCCACACCCTACCACTCACCCCACCACTCACCCACCCACACACCCACCCACTCACCCACACCTCACCACTCACCCACCCCACACCTCACCACTCACCCACCCACACACCCACACCCCACCACTCACCACCCACTCACCTCACCACTCACCCACACCTCACCACTCACCACTCACCCACACCTCACCACTCACCCACCCACACACCTCACCACTCACCCACCCACACACCCACACCCCACCACTCACCCACCCACCCACACACCTCACCACTCACCCACACCCCACCACTCACCCACCCACACCCCACCACTCAACCACCCACTCACCCACACCCCACCACTCACCCACCCACTCACCCACACCCCACCACTCACCCACCACCCACACACACCTCACCACTCACCCACCCACACCTTACCACTCACCCACCCAACAACTCACCCACCCGTTCACCCGCCCACTCACCCACCCACCGCCCACTCACCCACCCACCCATCCACTCGTCCAATCACCAACCTACTCACCCACCCTCTCGCTCATCCACCCAACAACTCATCCACCCGTTCACCCGCCCACTCACCCACCCGCTCACCAACCCACTCATCCACCCTCTCGCTCATCCACCCAACAACTCACCCACCCGTTCACCCGCCCACTCACCCTCCCGTTCACCCGCCCACTCACCCACACCTCACCACTCACCCACCCAACAACTCACCCACCCGTTCACCCGCCCACTCACCCACCCTCTCACTCACCCACCCACCTCTCACCACAAAACCTCAAGGCTCGTTTCCAGAAGGGTCCTTCCCGAGTTATCGGAGCAGCGGGCGATGGTTGCTGCTGCTGTGTGGGTCTATAGCCTAGGGGCACCCCCAGTGGCAGCTGTCTCTGTGTCATCCCAACTGAGTGCTTAATTTTTTGTTGTTAAAATTTGTACAAATTTCGGATTCGTGGCGCGGCCCCCTCCCCCCCCCCCCCCCCCCCCCCCAATGTGATAGCGGAGAGAGGAGAGCGGAGCGGCCACACGCTCAGCACTCTCTCACACCCACCAAGTGTGACCACTCAATCAGCACTCACTCACACCCACAGTGACCACTCACTCAGCACTCACACCCAACTCACACCCACAGTGACCGCTCACTCAGCACTCACTCACACTCACAGTGACCACTCACTCAGCACTCACAGTGACCACTCACTCAGCACTCACTCACACCCACAGTGACCACTCACTCAGCACTCACACCCAACTCACACCCAACTCACACCCACAGTGATCACTCACTCAGCACTCACTCACACTCACAGTGACCACTCAATCAGCACTCACACCCACAGTGACCACTCACTCAGCATTCACTCACACCCACAGTGACCACTCAATCAGCACTCACTCACACCCACAGTGACCACTCACTCAGCACTCACACCCAACTCACACCCACAGTGACCACTCACTCAGCACTCACTCACACTCACAGTGACCACTCAATCAGCACTCACACCCACAGTGACCACTCACTCAGCATTCACTCACACCCACAGTGACCACTCATTCAGCACTCACTCACACCCACAGTGTGACCACTCAATCAGCACCTCACTCACACCCACAGTGACCACTCACTCAGCACTCACACCCAACTCACACCCACAGTGACCACTCACTCAGCACTCACTCACACTCACAGTGACCACTCACTCAGCACTCACTCACAGTGACCACTCACTCAGCACTCACTCACACCCACAGTGACCACTCAATCAGTACTCACACCCAACTCACACCCACAGTGACCACTTCACTCAGCACTCACTCACACCCACAGTGACCACTCACTCAGCACTCACACCAACTCACACCCACAGTGACCACTCACTCAGCACTCACTCACACTCACAGTGACCACTCAATCAGCACTCACACCCACAGTGACCACTCACTCAGCACTCACTCACACCCACAGTGACCACTCAATCAGCACTCACTCACACCCACAGTGACCACTCAATCAGCACTCACTCACACCCAACTCACACCCACAGTGACCACTCAATCAGCACTCACTCTCACCCACAGTGACCACTCAATCAGCACTCACTCACACCCAACTCACACCTCAGTGTGACCACTCACTCAGCACTCCTCACACCCACAGTGTGACCACTCACTCAGCACTTACTCACACACACAGTGACCACTCACTCAGCACTCACTCACACCCACAGTGACCACTCACTCAGCACTCACTCACACCCACAGTGACCACTCAATCAGCACTCACTCACACCCACAGTGTGACCACTCACTCAGCACTCATACCCACAGTGACCACTCACTCAGTACTCACACCCACAGTTGTGACCATAGGCTCGGCACACTCACACTGACTCACACTCACACTGACTCACACTGACTCACACTCACACTGACTCACACTGACATTCACACTGACACACACACTGACTCACACTCACACTGACTCACACTGACTCACACTGACTCTCACACTGACTCTCACACTGACCTCAACACGCTGACTCACACTGACACTGATTCACTCACACTGGACACTCACACTGACTCACACTGACTCACACCACACTGACTCACACACACACTGACTCACACTCACACTGACTCACACTCACACTGACTCACACTGACTCACACTGACTCTCACACTGACTCACACGCTGACTCACACTGACACTGATTCACTCACACTGACACTCACACTGACTCACACTGACTCACACACACACTGACTCACACACACACTGACTCACACTCACACTGACTCACACTCACACTGACTCACACTGACTCACACACACACTGACTCACGCTCACACACACACTAACTCACACTCACACTGACTCACACTCACACTGACTCACACTGACTTACACACTGACTCACACTCACACTGACTCAGACTCACACTGACTCACACTGACTCACACACACTGACTCACTCACACTGACTCTGACACTGACTCTCACACTGCCTCTCATACTGACTCACACTCACACTGACTCACAGTCACACTGACTCACACTGACTCACACTGACACTCACACTCACACTGACTCACACTGACACTCACACTGACTCACACTGACACACACTCACACTGACTCACACTCACACTGACTTACACACTTACTCTCACACTGACTCACACTCACACTGACTCACAGTCACACTGACTCACACTCACACTGACTCACACTGACACTCACACTGACTCACACACACACTGACTCACACTCACACTGACTCACACTGACCCTCACACTGACTCTCACACTGACTCACACTGACTCTCACACTGACTCTCACACTGACTCACACACACACACACTGACTCACACTCACACTGACTCTCACACTGACTCACACTCACACTGACCCTCACACTGACTCTCACACTGACTCTCACACTGACTCACACTGACTTACACTCACACTGATTCTCACACTGACTCACACACACACTGACTCACACACACACTGACTTACACTCACACTGACTCTCACACTGACCCTCACACTGACTCTCACACTGACTCACACTCACACTGACTCACACACACACTGACTCACACCAACACTGACTCACACTCACACTGACACTCACACTGACTCTCACACTGACTCTCACACTGACACACTGACTCACACACACACTGACTCACACTCACACTGACTCTCACACTGACTTTCACACTGACTCTCACACTGACTCTCACACTGACTCACACACACACTGACTCACACTCACACTGCCTCTCACACTGACTCTCACACTGACTCTCACACTGACTCTCACACTGACTCACACACACACTGACTCACACACACACTGACTCACACACACACTGACTCACACACACACTGACTCACACTCACACTGACTCACACACACACTGACTCACACACACACTGACTCTCACTCACACTGACTCCCACACCGACTCTCACACTGACTCACACTCACACTGACTCTCACACTGACTCCCACACCGACTCTCACACTGACTCTCACACTGACTCACACACACACTGACTCACACACACACACTGACTCACACTCACACTGACTCACACACACACTGACTCACACACACACTGACTCACACACACACTGACTCACACACACACTGACTCTCACTCACACTGACTCCCACACCGGCACTCACACTGACTCACACTGTAGAAGGAGGAGGCCACAGTAGTGAACCCTACTGGGGGGAGTCCTTGTGGAGCACCGGGCAGCCGCTGGATTTTTTTTTACTTTGGGTGCTCGGTGCGAATAAATTTCCCTGTACAGTTCATCGTCATCGTCGTCA